TCTTTTTAGATGAAAAAGTAAGTCTGAAAAAGTTGTTTAGGGAACACACTCAGAGGGTCAGTATAACAACTGACACATGGGCCTCTGTACAAAGGATCAATTACACGTGTATAACTGCACATTTCATTGATCATGAGTAGAAGCTGAATAAAAATAATAATTCCCTTTGTTGTTTTGACTTCCCACAAAGGAGAATACTTAGCTAAAGCCCTAGAGTCTTGCCTGGTAGATTGGGGATTGAAACATATCTTCACTGTGACTGTTGATAATGCTAGCAGTAATGACACTACAATTGGCTTTTTAAGAAGAAACTTTTATCTCAGGGTGCCTCTTCTGTAAAAGTTGAGTACCTTCATATGAGGTGTATTGCTCATATCCTTAATTTGGTTGTCCAATATGGTTTAGAAGAAAGTGATACTTCTGTTCAAAGAGTTAGGGATGGTGTTAAGTATGTTCAAAATTCTCTTGCTAGGCTACAAAAATTCAAGGACATTTCAGACTTGATTGGAATGGAAACTAAAGCTGGATTGCACCTAGATGTCTAAACTAGGTGGAATTCAACCTATTTGATGCTCAAATCGGCAATGTTCAATGAAACAGTGTTTGAAGCTTATGAGGAGAAGAGAGTTCCTATTTTGTTGATCTGGGGAATGAAAGTCCTGATGTTGGGGACTGGATTGCAATTGAAACTTTGGTGATCCTTCTTAATGTCACTGCTAATACCTTCTTCTCTGAAATACATGATTTGTTCCTTGTTTTCAAAGATATGGTTGCTTCTGGAACTGAATGTGTTTCTAAAATGGGGACTAGTATGGTTTCTAAGTACTAGGGTGATCCAGAAAAAATGAACATGCTCATTTTCTTTGCAAATGTGCTTGACCCTAGAGACAAATATGAATGTGTGCCACATCAATTGAATGCTTTGTATGGGGATAAGATATGTGAGGCATTATTTGCAAAGTTAAAGTTGGGTTTGAATGAGTTGTATGGTGATTATGTTACAAACTATGATGTTTCAGTCAGTGGAAGCTCTCAATTAACCCCAAATTCCGTTTCTTTACAATCTGAGTCAACTAGAAGTAGGCATGTCTCTAAATTCAAAGCCCAATTAAAAAAGCAAAAACAAGATAGTGGCCTCTTAGGCTTGAAAAAAATGAACTTGAACTATATTTGAGTGAGAACATTCTTGGGGAGGACAATGAATTTGATATATTGAGATGGTGGAAGCTTAATGGTGAGAGGTTTCCTATCCTATCTAAGATGGCAAGAGACATTCTTGTTGTTCCTATTTCCACAGTAGCTTCTGAGTCCACTTTTAGTGCAAGTGGAAGAGTGTTAGACTGTTTTAGGAGTTCTTTGAGTGCCAAAATTGTAGAAGCACTCATATGTGCTCAAGACTGGTTGAGGATGTCAAACCAGCTTGTGTCAGTTGAAGAAACTATTGAGGAGGTAGACATGCTGGAAACAGGTACTAACTTTTACTTATTTACTATTCAGTGTTTATATTTATACTTATTGTTAACTTCATATTATTTTCAATGCAGAATTAACTGATGCCAATGTTGGTGGAGGCCCTTCTCTTGATCGGTTAGTAGTAAATCTTTACCTTTATCTTTTAATTATGTAATATGTTACTTCACTAATGACTTGCCATGATTCTGTCAATGATCTGGCTGTAAAAGCATAACCATGATGTTGTCATGGTAATTGGAAGTGTTGTTGATTCACTGGTACAATTTCACCTAATTACTGTGTTTGTACTTTGTACAACATGCATGGTAATCTTCTTACACTTTATACTAATTGATTAAGTGTAGCATATATCTGGCAATGATGATAGCTTCCACCAAAAGATGAAATTGATGGATTGGTGTTGATTCTATTTCTATATAGTTTCGTATGCTCCCATTAATAGTGAAGTCAATATAAATCTGAGCCAAATATAACAAGATACTTGCTGCCTTGCTGGACCTACTGGAATTTGGTAATGTGATTATTGAGTTAATTGATTAAGTGTAGCATATATCTGGCAATGATGATAGCTTCCACCAAAAATGAAATTGATGGGTTGGTGTTGATTCTATTTCTATATAGTTTCGTATGCCCCCATTAATAGTGAGGTCAATATAAATCTGAGCAAAAAAAATCATGCTACTTGCTGGCACTTATACATTATACTGGAATTTGCTAATGTATATGTATTTATGACTTATGAGTTATTAGATTAATTGTTGCATTATTTAAGTAATGATGATAGCTTCCACCAAAAAAATGAAATTGATGGTTTGGTATTGATTCTATTTCTATATACTTTTGTATGCCCCTATTTTTATTGAAGTGAGTACAAAACTGAGTCAAATTAAGGATATGTTGTTTGCTGCCTTGGTTTTACTATTGCAATTTAACTATGTATTTATGAATTATGAGTTCTTACATGAATTGTTTACTTACTTTGGCAATGATGATGGTTTATAACCTTCTACAGTTCTACCAGAAAATGAGATAAATGGGTTTGGTGTTGATTGTAATTCTATATAGTGATTAATCCCCCATAATTAGTGAACTGAAACTAAATCTGAGCCAAATCTTATTGTATTTCTATATTCTTTTGAATTTTTTATAGTTCCCACTTCCCAAAATCTTAGTACAGTTTGTTTTATGATACTAATGTATTTGCTTGTGATGTACATAGGAACAAAATCAACGAGTATTTGGTTGATGATCTGCGAAATCCTAGTACAGTTTGTTTCCAGGTTTCCTGGAAACCTTTACAAAATAAAGTAGATGTCAAGACTCAAGATTTGAAGACTTGTACATCAATTGAATGTTGTTAAACTTTTTGTTGGTACTTGCTGTTTTGAAACATTTGATTACTCAAACTCTCAATTTTAAACTGCATTATGTATAGGAATAATTACATAAATATGACCAAAATAAAGACGATTTACAAAAATATGATTAGTTACTACAGTAGTAATGAAATCGTAATAATTCATGTTCAAGTTTTGAACTTAAGTTACTACAACATCACGTTGTAGTAATGAATAGTCATATTTATGTTAATAAGTTTTATTTTAGTAATGTTCTTATAAAAAACCCTTATGTATAAGCGGTATAACTGTATAAGTGTATAAGTAACTAAGTAAGTACTAACTACTAAGTAGTAATAAATGTATGAGTGTATAAGCATTAGCTATGTGCTTGGAGTTGTACAAACTCTACGTATTTTGCTAAGTGCTTTTGATATTATGTATTTAACCTGTGTTTGTAAAGTGTAATTGTACAAAATTTTACTTTAAATGTGATTTTATCAGTTTATCATGTTATGTTTTAATGGGTTTTTAATTAGCCCGAATGGCCCCGAAAACCGATTAAACCCGACCGAAATCCGAAATTGTGCAACCCGATTAGCCCGAAATCTTTTTTGGACAGGGTGGGGGTTTTAATTGTAAACCCGATAACCGAAAGGGTATGCCAAACCCCAACCTGTCCGACGCTCCCCCTACTTGTATTTGTTATACTTTTGTACTCTACATGTATGACAAGATGTTGACGATGACAATAACACATTATATTTATATAAATTTCATTTAACTAGAGTACAATATACATTTTACTTATTCATGTCAATAAAATCATGAATTTAAAAAATTCATACTGCCAACTCATTTAGTTTTTTTTAATGTTTTATGTGATATTGTAATTGTTAATCAACTATAAATTTATGTTTGTAATAAGTGGATGTTTTTCCAGTGATTAAAGTAAGACAAATCTAGATGTTAATTTACAATATTTTATTATTTATTGTTGGGTTAATGGTCCGACCGTGGGTCAACTCATTACCCCGTAGTAGGAAAAATACCAGGGCCAAATCGGCGTGGTCCATCAAGTTGCTCGAATGTCGGAAGACGCTCGGCCTCATTGACCTTGCCCAAGCAAGGATCATAACCTCATATATTCTTGTCGATCCAACGAGATACAAATGGACGCTCGTCTGCTTACCTTAAGACGACCATCCTCAATGGTCTTGGCCCAACAAAGACCAGACAAGATCCCAGGTTCGACTTGGAAAAGCCGTGCAAACCGTGGGCCTTGCAGCCACCAGAACCCAGGGGCGAGGCACATGGGACGTTGGCCTGCAGTCCTGGCGGGAAATCAAGATATTGGCAGGAGACGCATTTAATGCAGTAGATTTGGTGGTTGGAAAGTTATCCATCCACAGCCCTTCACGTCAGCAACGCTACCTACTCCTTAGAAGTATATATATATAGTAACATGTATCTCATTGTAAAGGGTTGACAATTTATTCTCTCCCTAACAAATAACAATTATCTTAGCTCTTAGTGCTGAGATAGACGAATGAGCTCGAGGCTAGTAGTTGAAGTGTGTTGTATATGGACCATTATTATCATTTAATAAGATACGACCCACTTACTACTCTCTTTATTGACTCATCTTTATTGGCTTGCATCGTGTATTCATTATACCCTCCATTCGAAATGCATTGGGTTGACGGAATAAACCTCAACATTTATTTTTCTATCTTTTATTTCTTTCACATTTTATGTAATAATAAATACAATGTGATGTGATGGCTTACTATTTTCATTTTCAATATATAAAATAAAGAACTTGATCAAATAAAATTATAAACATGTGAAACCGAATCAAATTGAACTAAATTGAAACTAATAATTTTCACTTTGATAAACCAATTTTAAATTAATCCGAACTGAAATCGGATCGAAATATAAATGATTTTAGTTTAGTTCACTATATCCAAGGGCGGATCTCTTCTATGCAAGGGTGTTCATGTGAACACCCAAAAGTAAAAAAACAATGTGAATATATACACAAATTAGAGTAATAATTTATTTATTAATATTTTAAAGAGAAAATGTGTAATTTTGAACACCCAAATTATAAACACTACATCCGTGAGTGACTATATCTCAAACCTAATAAATTAAACCGAGTAAATCAAATTACTCGTACCTAGTTTTAAGCGTGTGATATACAGAGTACTTGACAAATACGGCGTACAAGAAATACGGAGTAAGCTGTATTCGGCGATTCGCGGCTCGATTAACGAGTTTAGCCAGGTCATGAATGCATCGTCCTTCCCTAATCCTTCAACTCCGGCATTGTGCAAGAAGCGAATCTCCTTTGCAAGGCAAGAAGCTCCACGCCCAGATACTAAAGACCGGCCTGGACAAGTGTTCTTCCCCCTCTTTTCCCAATGGTCTCATTAATATGTATGGGAAATGTCTCCTACTCAAAGACGCCTGTCAGGTGTTCGATGGAATGTGCCATAGGGACTTAGCTTCATGGGCATCTATCTTCACCGCCCACAACCTTTCTTGCCTTCCACTATCCACACTTTCAATCTTCCCAAACATGTCACTCCTCGACGGCCTTCACCCTGACCATTTTGTTTTTGCCAGCCTGGTTAAGGCTTGTGCTGACCTCACTGCTCTGAGAATAGGGAAACAAGTGCACGGGCAGTTAATCATGTCACGGTTTTCCCACGATGATGTCGTGAAGTCTTCCCTTGTTGACATGTACAATAAGTGTGAGGCCATTGATCACGCCCGAGCAGTTTTTGACTCTATTTCTCACAAGAATCCTATTTCGTCAGCTGCTATGATATCTGGGTATGCACGAAATGGGATGTGGTGTGAAGCTGAGGAACTTTTTCGCTCCTCTCCTGTGAAGACTATATCCACTTGGACTGCTTTGATATCTGGAATGGTACAAAGCTGTGATTTTATCAAGGCATATACTCTTTTTACCGAAATGAGAAAAGAAGGCGTTGATATTTCAGATCCATATATCCTTTCAAGTTTAATTGGAGCTTCTTCTAGTCTGGCATCCTTGGATCTTGGTAAACAGATCCATTGCTTGGTCATTGTTTTTGGTTATGAGTCGAGCTTGTTCGTCGGTAACACACTTGTGGATATGTATTCCAAGTGTTCAGATTTATTGACATCGAAATTTATATTTGATCATATGGAGATGCGGGACGTTGTCTCTTGGACATCGATAATAGTTGCCATGGCACAACACGGTAAAGCACATGATGCTTTGTCATTGTACGACAATATGGTTTTGGAGGGCTTCAAGCCAAACAAAGTCACTTTCACGGGACTAATCTATGCTTGTAGTCACTTTGGCTTGGTTGAGAGAGGCCGCCAGCTTTTCAAGTCCATGACTGAGGATTATGGTTTGAGTCCCTCATTGCAGCATTACACATGTTTGTTAGATCTCTTGAGTAGATCGGGGCTTCTACATGATGCGGAAGATCTGCTCAACAAGATGCCATTTGTACCTGATGAAGCTGCTTGGGTTGCTCTGCTGAGTGCTTGCAAGAGGCATGGTGATAGTGAGATGGGGATGAGAGTTGCCAACCGCATTCTGAGTCTTGGGCCCACCGAAGCTTCTACTTGTGTTTTGCTGTCTACTGTTTATGCTGGGGAGAGCATGTGGGAGAATGTGTCCAAATTGAGGGAGATCATGGCGAGTATGGAGGTTAAGAAAGAGCCGGCTTATAGTTGTGTTGATTTGAGTGGCGAATAATGATATATTAGCTAGATGGTAGCTAATCAACAAGATTACCTCTGATTCAACGTTTATTTGAGATCAACAGTGTCACTGAGCAGCTGAATTTTATGATCTCGACATTGTTACTACATGACAGAAAACATTTAGAGGCAATGCTGTTTTTTCGGCTGCATAATGCTTCTTACAGGTGACTTTTAGGGGCACAGAAAGTCACGTTTTTTCACTGGGAGTGGTTGAGCCGGCAATTTTTGGTGTTTGCGGGACTGCTAGAGACAAGCTCTGCCACTAAGCAGAATACTTCCTCGGTAGTTTCAAGCAACGCAGATACACCAACTCAGTGGGAATTTCATTCTGCTTATTACTTCCAGGTTTTTGAACTCATTTTTTAAATGCTTCTGTTGCAGGTTCCAAGCTATCGCCTTTTCGTTGAAATGTAGGATGTTACCATGTTTATTGCATGATCAATTGCTGTATACCTTATGTTTTATATAACAACGCTCAACTTTACAGTGGCATATTTTAACAATTTGTTTTGTTGGGGTGAAATAAGAAATAGAGGAGAAGCGAGAAACTTCTCTTGTTTGGTGACAAGCGAAATGGATTATGTGACCCTTGCAAATAGTAAAAATGGGAATAAGCTCGTGGGGCCAGTTGAGGCCAAGCTTTGATCAACTCGTGGGTCTGGTACTCTGGTTCTTCGACATTGATGGCTTTCTGACCTGAAAATGCTAAATGAGATCCTTGGTGTGGTTTCAACTCTGTCTTCGTACTTCCAGAGTGCCAGAGTGGTAAGTGGTTCATTGAGGCAGGACTTTCAGGTCTGCATGATATTGCGGAGTGCAGCTTCACTCTGGCAATCAAACTAGTAAAAATCAATAAGATATGTGGAATTGTACAATCTACAGGTTTTGTAAATGCACCATTAGATTATGTAGACTAGTTAAGAAAGAGCCTGTTTGACAAGAAGCTTTTCCCCTTATCAATTTTGAAAAGTTACTTCAACAAACTATGATTTGTCCCAAGTAAAAGCTTCTGGATTGGATAAGTTTGAGGAGCGGTATGCTAAGAAAGCCCTACGACAACTCTGAATCTTGATACAAAGTGAAAAGTTGAACACTTGAACTGCAAGAGAGGAATATTCTGGTCAGTCTGGACTGACCAGAACTGCCGTGCGACCAAGCCCGGGCCTTTTTGATCGAGTTTTTTGATGAAATTTTGTAAGCATGTTCTTCGTGAAATGTAGAACATTCATACAAAATTTCATCAGAAATTTCAATCAGGATGTCAATTAAATATAGGGAAAATAAATTAAATATCTCAAACTTTGAAGGGTTGTGATGTAAGCACCCCAAACTTGCACATGCAATATGTATACCCCAATCTTTAAATAAAAAGTTATGTTAGCATCATAATCATATTTTTTTTCACAAATGTAATTTTATGGTGTTAAGTACATAATTAAAATACACAAAACACTTATGAGGATGCAATTAAAATTAGATTGTACCAAATTAATATTATTTATTTCACAAATGAAATATTAGAATGTTAATTGCATCCAAATAAAGCTTAGATTATTTTGAATTATGTACTGATTGCAATATATTTATATTTGTATTTGTAAAAAACATATAATCATGGTGCGAAAATAACTTTTTATATAAAGTTCGGGCGTATATATATTACATTTGCAAGTTCGGGGTATTTATCTCACACCACTTTAAAGTTTAGGGTATTTATTTTTTCCCCTTAAATAAATTGTTCAAAAGCATTGTGTTTTTTATAAATATTTTTGCACTAAATATTTCAAGTTTCAACTAAATATATTGTGATTTATTAAATGGTGTTAAAGTAATATGAGATGTTATGAGAACTACATGTGTGCACGTTGTAGTTTCATAAAAATTAGGGAGATTCACTTTAATAGGAGTAAAACATGGTTTTTTCCGAAAATAGGACCAATTAGTTTAAACATCCTTAAATAGGACTTTTTATGTGTGATTGGACAATAATACCCCCACTGCTGCCCCTGGAGTGTTGGCCTGCCGCCGACCACCTGCAGCCGCCGCCAGTCTTCCGCCACCGGAGCTCTGACGACCACCATTGGAAAAAAATTCAGAATTTTTTTCTGGAATACTGCCAACAATTCTGCCTCCGGTAGCAGGCAGCTGCCGCCGCCGGAGTTCGCCGCTGAGATGCCGCCACCAACCGGTTGCCGGAGTGTTGTCGCCACCATAGACTGCCCCGCCACCGACGGACTGCCTTGGTTGTGCAAGGAAACTAGGGGGACAATTATTTAGATCAATTAATTAATTAAATAGAATTAGAGGTAAAAAAAAGTAAGGTTAGTCCTATTTAGGGGAAAACATGCATGTGGTCCTATTTTGAGAAAAAGGTTGAGTTTTGGTCCTATATTGGACAATTTTCTCTAAAAATTATCATAATATTACTTTATTACGTGAGCACTTATGTGCTCATTGCAAATATTAAATTTCAATCTCAGAAGTGGTCACGTACATTTTGGTGCAACGGTGTTACTGGGCCATGCTGAATTAATGATTACCGCAAAATCATTAATTACACTTCTGACCCAAATGATTTTGCGGTAATCATTAATTCACCATTTTCCAACGGTAGAGACGTCCGTCGAGGGCCTTAGGTGTTACTGGGCCTAGACGTTCGTCCAAGGAGGGGTAAATGGGTCGAATCTCCATTTGGGCCATTAATCCAACATATATAGGGAAATTCTATATACAGCCCCTTATTTACTAAGTACAACCACAAATATTTTACCACTCCTAATATACCCTTTTACCGTATCAGATCGTTCGATTTATCATCACTGCTTTTCCGCCATAGTTTCATGATGGAAATTGTAACGCTATAATCTAGAAAGTCGAGGAAAAGATAAACATAATTCATATTAACATCCAAAGTATAAACTTGCTGCCTCTTTCTGACTATCCCATATCAAATCATTCAAATTGATAAACATAGTCAATTTGATAACAGAGACGGCTATAAGATAAACATCACCCATTTCAAGGAAAATGGAGGTGGAGAACTGGAGACCAAGCCGGGCGTCGGCCGGAGAGAAAATAGCCGGAGCTACAAGGATCAAGGGATGCGGGGGTTGGGGATCGGAGCTCTAGCGACTCTTGGGACGGATAACAACTACTCTGGTGCGGCAGCTGGGTGACGAGGCTCTTGCACCATCGTGGCTTCACCGAGGGATCCTTGCGACGGCTCTGGCACCATCGTGTCTTCCAAACTTGCAGCGGCGTGACCTCTCTCCAGGCGAGCTAACTACGTACCTGATGGCCCAACGAAGGAGAAGAGTGCAAACTGATCTGGGAATTTCCAGCGACCGCTCTGGCACCGGGGGACCCCTGCAACAACGAAATTGCAGGTGAGTTTCTTTGAAGCCGCCAAGTCTCGATCCAATTCTCCATCCGATGAATCACTAAGTTGTTAGGATGAAGACAAGCCACACAACACCAAAAGGGGTAATGTTTGGACGGAACACAGTGTTAAATAAAAGGGTATTCTCGGAACTGTAAAATGTCGGTGGCTGTATTTAGCAAATAAGAGGCTGTATATAGAATTTCCCCATATATATATATAAAGATCCTATGGTGGGATTTCAAGTGGGATCTATTTGGAGCCAAAACATGTGAAAAAATGTTGTCTTAATTAATCATCTATCTTAATACGGAGTACTTCATAAATGCAGCCTTCTGTTACAAAAACATAACTAGACGAAATACCCGTGCGATGCACAGAGTATATCTAGAATTGAATAATGCGTAGTAAATTTTTGTTTTACAATGTTACATAATGTGTAATTTTTTAAAAGAAAAAAAGACGATATAGTTTTATGATATGACTTTTGATTGTATGATAAATAGCAAGTAAAACTGATATATAATTATTAGTAGGCCTAATGAAATTGTATAAATTATATGAAATTTTACAAATAAAAAAGTTACGGCACTTTTAAATAGAATGAAATTTTATTTTGATAAGACTTGTGAATGACATTCTCCTCTTTGTCACTTTTTTAAAGCGTGCATGTCAATTTATTTATTACTAATGGCCTATGAATGCATTACCAAAATTACTTTTGTTACTAATTTCCTATTGTGTCTTCATTTTGGGCGGGAATTTAATTGTGTAGCAGACTAGCAGTATGTCACTTCCTTTTTGTGTGTGAAAGGAACGCACTTCCGATTCTCTTAAATCATCTTTCCATTTTGCTATCAATTTTGTTTAAGTGGCACTTTTAATGAAATGAGCAGATTTAATACTTATAGATTTACGATAAACAAATTTGATAAACTTAGAGTCCGTTTGGTAACATTAAAATTGACCGAATTGACTGATTCTGCTGAAATTTATGAAGTTCTGGATGGAGTGGTTGTATTGACTGATTCTGCTGATCCATGAAAAAAATATACGAAGTATTTAAAATATTCGTTATTAATAAAATAAATAAAAAATTATATTTAAAAAAATACTACCTCCGTCCCAATTTGATGATACCATTGCGGTTTATGAAGTTTGATTTACGATAAAGCAAATGGATCTCTGTCCGCACTCAAATTATTTTTAGTATTTTTTTTACATATTTAGAAACTACATTAAAAACTTTACAAAGTCGCAAACATCTGGATTAAATTTCATTAAAATTTAATACATAAAATAAGAGATCAAGAGTGATTTGTGTTGACCAAAGGAGAGAGAAATGGTACCATCAAATTGGGATGGAGGTAGTAGCTAAAATGATCATCTACATTAACTTCAGCCAATACAGCCAGGAAAGTAACTCCAACCTTACTTTTTCTGCTTATTACAAAATTCAGCGCGTGAAATCAAAAGTTACGTGTTTGGTGAAAAAGCTGGCTGATAAACCTGATAAACCGAAAAAAGGGTCAATAAACGGGTTCTTATTAATTAAGCATTTTATGCTCAATTGCCGATTCATGATACTTTTTATGGTAATAATATACTTCGTATCTTACAATTAATTATCCACAATTTGGCTATTTACATATTTATTACTTTTTGGGCAGGAAGTTTCCCTCCAATAATTGTAGCAATTTTGTTATTTCATATTATATAAAGATATTCAACATTGATGTCATATGAAAGATAATAAAAGATTATGAATTTTGATATATTATTTGTAATAATCGGAGTACAAATTAAAAAAAAATAGCACTTAAGGAATACAGAGTAGATGTTTTTATAGTGTTGTTTTTATTTTTATTTTTATTTTTATATACTCAATATTGGTGTCATATGAAAGATAATAAAAAGATGAATTTTGATATATTTTTTGTAACAATCAGAATCCAAATAAAAAAGTTACAACACTTTAAAAAAATATGGGATTTCATTTATCTCCTTTTTTTTGTAAATTTTTTTCTTCTTTGTTAGGCAGTAGGCACTTAGTACCTTTTTTTAAAAACATGTGGTAGTCACTTCTTTATTCGTTAATGGTTAGTTAATGCACTACCAAATTTAACTTTCCATTAATTCATTATTATGTTCTCATTTTGGGCGGGATTTTTCCCTCCAATTGTTGTGTCACGACTGTTAGTTTATATATTATATATAAAGATATAAAGATATAAAGATAGGAATGTACTAGCTACTAGGTAAAGCCGTGTATAATAACTTTCCATGCATACCAAATTTAGTACTCTGTATAATAATTAGTGGAATATTTTTCTTGAAGATTTAGAAGTGGTTCCATTAACCGGATAGGAATGTTTTTATCTGGCTTTTTAAGATTTGATCTGGTCTGATTTTTATCAAGAACTTTTTTATTTGATTTAAATCTTTTTTATCTGATTTGAAACTTTTTTATTTGATCTGAATCAATCTCAATCAGATCTAAATAATTCGAATGTAATGAAATGTTTATTATTGTTGTTATTATTATCATCACTATTAGTATGCATATGGTTATGATTAAAATTATTAACTATAACTATAATTATAATTATAATTATAATTATAATTATAATTATAGATATAGCTATATTATAATTCTGGTTATAATTATAAGTCTAATTATAATTACAATTATAGTTGTAATTATAATTATAATGATGACAATAATTATAGTTATAATTATAATAATAAATCTGAATCTTTATGATCTGATCTTAATTTTTCTAATTTAATCTGATCTGAATTGTTCATATTTATTTGATCTGGTCTAAATAAAATAAGAATAAACAATAAGCAATAAGAATAAGACAAAATAATTAAAATATCTCAAACTTTGAATGAGTGTGAGTTAAACACTCCAAACTTGCATATGTAATCTAAATACCATAAACTTTATATAAAAAGTTCTTTTAGCGCCATGGTCATGTATTATTTCTTTCAAAAATGTTTATTGTTTTGTGTTAATTTCATAATTCAAAATATTTTAGCATTCTATAAAATACAATTAACATTCTAAACTTCCATTGTACAATAAATAATACCACCCCCACTCTATACAATTGCAACATTTTTAATTTGCTATTTTAAATTATGCAATTAACACCATAAATTTACATTTTTGAAAGAGATAATATATGACCATAGTGCTAAAATAACTTTGATATAACTTTTGGGGTATTAAAATTGCATATGGAAGTTTGAGGTGTTTATCTAACACTCCTTCAATGACAGTTACTAACTGCAAATAAGAAAAGTGACATTCATAAATTAAAAATCATAAAATTTACACTCACTTTGTCTCAAAAATTTTTGCTAACTTTCATTTTTTGTTATCTAAAAAACTTACTCCCTTTGTCTCGGAAAAAATTATACGAAGTATGAGAAAAAACTAAAATGGTTGGTAAGTTTGATAAACCGTAATCATGGATCACCAAAGGTCTCTAAATTTCCCGTGCAACGCACGGGTTTATCGTCTAGTAAGAGTAATAGTTTTAAAATTGTCAAAATAATTTTTTTTTGGGATTCCGGCCACTGTTCAGATTCCGTCGCCGTGTGAGCTCTGGCTTGGCAAAACAAATCCAGAATACTTTTGCCCAACCTATAAACCACCAAATTTAAAAAATCGAGAATTTATGGGACACAAGTTTCAGTAAGCACTCTTAAAGAATATCCATATTCAATCAGACTAACATTTTAATCAAAATATCACTTAAAAAAAATTAAATAACCCCTAATATTAGTAATTTTCGCACATTACCGTTAAGATTACTCCAAAATAGAAATAAAATATAGCGATTCATGCACTATGACTTAGGAAAACTCTATTCTTTTAGTATTATTTTAATAGAGCTAAATAAGTCATATTTTGAGAAGAAGCATGTTCATTACTATCTACACCCTGATTTAAGCTTCTCGTTAAAGAATGACATAGTTATTTAAACACTAATTAAATAAACTAATTTGAGTATATTTAAGAAATAGTTTTGATGGATATATAATGTAATGATGTTATTGATGATAACTGTGATGTTTTTTTGTGAAAGGAAAGACTGCTTATATATTAATATCATTAAGATTCGGATCGTTACATCAAACTCAAAGAGACCAACATTGACAACTATTTGCAACCAACTATCACTATCAACCTTACGGCTAGATGTAGAAATGGTCACCCCTGAAAGTGCAATATGAATCGTTAATCACCAAACGGATATGACACAACAATGGCCATATAGATCTTTCTAACGACATAATAGTTAGTAGAATTGTCAGTTATTATTGTAGGCCTAAAACGAAAAACATCATCTTGTCAGTTTTTTGGAAACATCACCTTCCAAACTTAAATAAAATAAAGACCATAAGAAATAAAATAATTGATAAAAGCTTCAAACTCCTTCTTGTCAGTTTTTTGGAAACATCATCTTCTAAACTTTGGCACCTCAATCAGTCGTCCAAGGTGGCGGTTCTGGACGGAGCGGACCAGCGGGCCTTCCTCTTCCGCCAAACTCAACCAAAGAACCCCAATGCCGCTGCCCTTAGACCCTTCTCTTCGGCGAAGAATCAGACTTGTCACATCCTCTTCAAGCATCAATCTTCCGCCCTGATGATCCAGATTATCCAATCGGTAGCTTGCCTCGATCTCCAACCTAATTCGTAGCCAGGACAGTTAGCTGCCAGAATGGACTAACACATGAACGATCTCCATGCCCACCACCCAGCCACATCCTTCAAGTCCACTGCCCTTCCAAGTCATCCCTCCTTTGAAATCAAGCAATCCAATCAACAATAAGAGCAAATTGCACGGACATCTACAATCTTCGTCCCACTAACATTAAAACATGAGATAGTTGTGCAACTATTAAGAAAAGTGGACACATGTAGATAATGTTGATGTGATAATGTAAGAATAAAGTAAGAATGATTCGAAGCTACACACACATTACCAAATTTAGTATGATACAATTTTAGTGGGACAAAATGAAAAGTAAAGATGAGACAACCTTTGCAGGGCGGATGGAGTATGTATGTAATACTCTATACTCTCTCGGTATTTTAAAGAATGCTAAATTAGGTTTGGCACACTATTTTTAGAAGTAAAGTAGCATGGTAATGAATAGTGTAGAAAAAGTAGGAGAGAATGTGTAAAAATATGAAAGAGAAGGTAAAAAGTAGAAAAAGTGAGGGCAGTTGGGTATTTTATAAAAGGGTAAACTTACCAAAAATGAAAGTGTAACAAACTTTTAAATACATTTCAAAACGCAAAGTGTAACAAACTTTAAAATATAGAGAGTATTGAATTTTGCAAAATCATCGCAACACACTTTCTTTAAAAATGTTATAAAAAGTATAACTTGAAATAAACAGAAGTAAAACACACACCAAATGCAGCTAATATAAAAAGAGTAATTCTTCGAATGTCAATAATCCAGAATCCACCAAAAATCCATAGTTTCTAATAGTGTACTCTCTATGTTTTTTGAAGGGCAAAAGTTGTAAGAACATTCTTTTTGTATATTTAAAGTTCATTGTTTATTACTAGGCCTTTATTGCTTCTAAAAGCGTAAAATCGTACTCCCTCCGTAACACTTATACCTTCTCGCTTTCCTTTATTAGCCGTAACATTCATATCATACCATTTCTAAATCTTCCCATCATAACTCAATAATTTTAAAAATAATACACTATAACAACTACTTTTTTGGATTTATCCTTCAATCGAGCACACTATTTCATTATCTTCCCATCATACCCTCAATAATTTATATCTTCTTTCACTATTCTTAATCCCACCTACTTCTCAAATGGGAAGATATATTTATTATGGAGGGCGTATAATTTTTTTATACTTGGACGTTTGGTACTTCTTTTATATAGAAATTATAACTATGTCGATTAAAATAATACTCTTGTAGTATATTTGTTGATTTGTGATAAACAAAACTTAGTTTATTAAAGCTAAGATATTTTTGAATAGAAAATTAAGCCGCTGATTTAAATAATTACATCTGTAATTGTAGATTTGAGCTCTTCTATATTTTCTCTCTCTTCATTCCTAGAAAGAAATTAGATAATGTAGATCATCAATTATCACAAATCACAATTACATAGAGATGATGTAATTATTTAGAGAAAGAACCTATTAATTAATAAGAACATACTACCCCTTCGTCCTTAATTGTTCTTCCAATTATGTCTTAAGAAGTTTGACTAGCGATAAAGTTAAATGATATATATGAAAACTCAGATTATTTTTAGTAAATAAAATTTACATATTCAGAAAGGATTATTGGTGATAGTTGAGGATATATTTAGTTAATAATCCTATTCAAAAAACTACATTAAAATTGCTACAAAACCTGTAAAAATAATTCAATTTTTATAAAATTTTGATATATAAAGTAAAAGATTAATAGTTATTTAGGTTGATTCTCGAAAAACGAAATGGAAGATCTTTTAGAGATAAAGGGAGTACTACTTATTAAATGCGCCTACTCAAAAAGTCAAATCCTTGATCGGTGAAAGAGTATCAATTGATATTTGCAGATTTTGGAGAAATGCTTGTACGGAGTATTATCTTTTACTAGTTACTGCGTATTAATCATTATCACTCTATAGTATTTTCAGCAATTTAAATGGACCCCAGAAAGTGTAAGTAAAGCTGGACGAGAGACCCGGCTTAACGGCTAGTGAAAAGCCCAAATGGTAAACCATGGCACATCGAAAATCCCAACGGCTAGTGATTTTGCTGGCTCGAGAGACGCTCTAACGGTCACTTTATGCCATTATTATTCAAACCCTACTTGCGGATTAAGTCCTATAAAACCATCTTCTCATCATCACCTTAATCACATCTCTCCATTTGCTATTAGGGTTTCCTCCACTGCTTAAGATTATTCATTGGTCAACTGTCTTGATCGCAAAATTCCAATGGAGACTCCATCATCGACCAGAAGAGTAACCAGATCCCAGGCCAAAGCCGCTGCTTCTGCAAACACCTTTACTACCAATAACATCCCCATTTCAAGTTAGTCATTTTCATTTATCCCTCAACCGTATGTGTTCCTGAGTTCAGTTTCAATTTTCTTGGTGTCGGATAGATTTCAAGAATCTGAAAGGAACAAGTCGAAAATCTTGAAGGATATTTCAACATAGTTTGGGTTTATTTATTTTAAAAGATTTTGGTGTTCAACTCATTGCTGACTTTCTTGTTCTTATCTATTGATCTTTTGTTCAATCAGTAAAAGATATCTTTTTTACTCAACCATCTAAATCATTGAACTGTTTTTTTTTCTCTTGACTTTTCTTCTACTTATTTGTTTTTCTGTCCAAATCTTTCTGGGGTTCAGAGATGAGACTAGAAGAATCTGAAAAGAAGAAGGGGATGAAATGCGGACAGAGGAATGATACTCAACAGCAAGAAAGAGGTGCACTTCTTGACATCACAAACGATTCACCTATTATAGGGCTGGCAATGGGGGGTTCCGCAATATCAACATCATCAGCAATGGTGTCCAAGAAGAGGGTGATGACGGTGAAAACTACTAGCCCGGGATCGGGGGAGGCTCTCTTGAGAGGACAAGTCAAGAACTTGTTGCAAAAGGTCGAAGAAGATGAGTCACATTTTGTCTCGATCAAACAAGTCTCAATGGCAAACAACAACAACAGACCCTTCCTTCACCTTCTTCAAAGTCCAATGCATCTTTTTCTTGCCCCAACCCCTGCAAACACACCCCATCTAAATCCTCCTGATAATATGCTGCCCTCTGTCACTCCAACACCTGTTGAAGACAAGCTCACTATCTCTCAGGTATTTATTTATTGCATTGTAGACTTCTGTTCGGATCTAGGAAAATCACAGGGATATGGAAAATATAAATTTTTGCCTAAATATTTGCTTGGAGTCTTTGAATTGAGAAAATTGAAGAATTGACCCTTTTTATTTACTCTGATCTCATTTTGTTGCCAGATCATGTACTATGACTATGATTTGTTTGTTAAATCACATACAGAGAGAATAAGTTCCAAAGTGAAAGTGATCAGACCTTTTTAATTTTCTTGCATCATTGCGGTTTTTGTTTGTTCGACAGATTACAGAGACTTTTTTGGCAAGTCAATTGAGATTAGTAGTATCCCTTTTATATAATACGCATAAACAAATGCAGAAGAATAAACAGTGCTTTTATTATTTTTGAATTTGATTCCCTCAATTCATTAGTAAAATTGTTTGATGAATTAGCTGAACGGAGAAGATGAGAGTAAGGTGACAAGGTCGCTGCTGCTGGAGTTTTCAGAGAAGTCGGAGGGGTACGATTCATCATCAGTGGTGACAAATGAGACTGTGGTAACAACAACAGGAGGAGGGGGGGAAGATGATGTCTCATCATCTGTTTGGTCTGTCCAGGCCATTGCTGCAAGTGTTGGAGACGAGGGTTCTGAAGAAGAAGAAGAAGAAGGGTGGGTTGAAGAGCTTTGCCAGGGGATGAGCAAGATCTGCTTCAACACTAGTAGTAATTACAATGGAGGCAACAGGTTTATTGCAGCTGCAGCAGGGAAGCATACCCGCTTCCTGTACAACAGTGACGGTGAGATTGAAGGCGTGGAGGAAGAGGAGGTGCAGCCCAATGCTCTGCTTCTCAAGGGTTTGCCACAGCCTAATGGGAAGCATCTTCGTTTCAGTGATGATGAAGAAGAAGAAGAATAAGGGAGAGAGGGGATCATACATAAGTGCCTGCATTCTCCCAACTTGTTTTATTTGTTTTTCTCCCTCTTATCTTTTTTGTAATGAACGGCAAGACACAGTGTCGTCATTCAGTACTTCTGAAAATGAAACACTGATGTCGTCTTTGTTTCTATTTTTATTTCTATGTTTCGGTATTTGATTAAAATGACGTTAACAGACCCCCCCCCCCCCCCCCCCTCATGGAGTTCCATGGCCTCTTCTTGAATATAAAAGTGAACTCTGTTAGAAAATTTTAATAACTTTCTACGTATAATCTTCATATTTGAACTCAACGCAGGATTGGAGTCTATATTAATCTTAAAAACATGAGTGAACCACGAATTTTGAACTTGATGATTCCTAACAATTTTCAGATTTTCAACGTAATAATTATCCGAATGTAATATTCATGTTCAAAATTCAGTAAATTATACTCATGGTGTTGTGTTCGTCTTAATCTTATTACTTATTGCTTATTCTTATTTTATTCAGATCAGATCAAAAAAATTCAGATCAGATCAGAAAGATTCAGATCAGATCATATCAGAATCATTCAGATCAGATCAGGAACATTCAGATCAGATCAAAAAAGTTCAAACATGATTTATCCTTTTTATTATAATAATATTAATTATTATTATTATTATTATTATTATTATTAATTTATTATTATTATTCTTGTTGTTATTGTAATTATTATTATTATTATTATAATTACTATAATTATTGATATCATCATCATCACTATGATTACTATGATTATTATTATTATTATGATTATTATTATGATATTTATTATTATCATGATTATTATTATTCTTATTACTATTATAGTTGTTGTTATTGTTATTAGTTTATTTTGTTATTACACGGAGTAATTACAATTAAAATTATAGAAATAAATATCATAATTATAATTAAAATTATAATTATAGAAATAATTATAACTAAAATATAATTACAATTATAATTATAGCTTTTTTTTGTTTACTCCAGGAGGCGTCTGGGGAAGGGGGTCTGGGGGGGCCTGAAGCAAACTAGGTTGAAACTCACCCCATTGAGTTTCGAACCCGAGACTTCCCATAAGGGAGAGTGAGTCGGCGACCAACTGAGCTGGACCGCTTCCTCTAATTATAGCTATATGTATAATAATAATTATACCTATTATAATTATGATTATAATTATAATTTTTTTATAATTATGATTATAATTATAATTACATTTAAATTATATATGTGTAAATACATTTCTAATTATAATAATTGAAATTAAAATTATAATTATAATTTTAGAAATATTTGAATCAGATCAGATCAGAATGATTCAGATCAGATCAGAAACATTCAGATCAAATCAGAACTTAAAAAATTCAGACCAGAAACATTCAGATCAGGTTAGGAGAACAATTTCTTAATTACTTTCTCCGTCTGTATATAAACATATCACCTTCCTTTTCAGTTTACCCTTTAAAAATGTCATCTTTTCTTACTTGCCAAACAATGTCCAAACTCTATGTCAAACAATGTCCTCTTTCCTTACTGCAATATTTTCCTTACTTAAGAAAAGTGTCATTTTCTTAAGTTGTGTTTAAGAATGTTTGATCTGGTCTAGTCTGATATGATCTAGTTTGGCCTAGTCTTACCTGGTCTGATCTGGTTTGATCTGGACTGAAAACAATGCAAAAGAAACATCCCAAGTCCAAGAGGATCTTTTAAATAGGGACAGATGGTGTACCATCTAATGCAATAATTCCAACCCAAGTTATAATTTAGATATTTTTAAAAAATTAAATATTTAATAAAGCATTTCAATCCAGACCAAATCAAACATCCTAATTTCAACACGTGTTAGATTAAAAACCCGTTCGGTAAAATTGAAATAGTATTTGATGAAATCATTCAAGTGGTTGAATTTGTTTAATTGTGACAAAATTATATGTAAAGTATATTTATTGATAAAACGAAAGATGAAATTATTTAAAATATTTTTTTTAGTAAATAAAAATGGCTTGTGTGGTAAAAAAATGACTAATCAACAGAGAATATCAAACCCGGTTCAGATTTTGGAAATCAAACTGAAATGGTTGGGACTTGGGAGTAGTGATGGACCCCGGGTCCGGGTCCGGCCTAGGCCCGGTCGGGCCTTGATGGGAATGGGTTAGACCCGGGACCAGCCCAAATGTGTACCAGTTCCGGGCCGTTCCGGACCGGGCCGAGTCATCCCCTACCCCCCATCCCCCAAACCCATCGGAAACACCCAGCCCAGCCCATTTAAACCCAGCCCAAACCAAAAAAAATAATAATAAAAAGGCCTGAACCGGCCTGTTCACATTTTATCAGTCCCAGAACCGCCCTGGTTTCATCCTTAAACCGGGCATAGACCCGAAACCGGTACTCAATTCCCGGGCCAGGCCAGACCCACACAGTACCGGGCCGGGCCGGGCCGGTTCCCGGGTCGGTTGGCCCGCACCCAGGCCATCACTAGTTGGGAGTTGGGATAGTCCCGGATAAGGCCCGACGAGGAGGACTGGAGGGTTCACCAATAATCTCCGGACATACCACCGCACCGTGTCATTGTAGTTTGTGCCAAGAAAGCCTTCCAGAACTTCAATGGCAGGTACTGCAATCCTTTCCACGGCTTTGCTATTAGTTGATGACGTTTTCTTCCTCGTAACGCGCAATTAATTGCTACACAGGCGGACAATCAGAGAGGGAAGACAAGGTTTCACTGGAACTTACAGAAGAGATTCTACAGAGCATGGAAGTCGGCATTACGTTTCGCGATTATGTATGTACTCCGAAGTCTGGGATTCATTTAGTTATTTTTCTTACCAGAAATATTTAGCTCATCTAGTAGATAATGTTATCTCGTAAGGGTAATGTTAATTTTTTTTATACGTGCGGTTATGCCCGATTAGGTTTGTTGATATTATTTATAAAAGTAAAAAATGCATTCTTTTTTCTTTGCATCCACGGAATAGAGGTTCCCTTTCCATTTCCAAATTGAAAAAAATCTAGTTAGGCATCTGTCTTCAACTGGAGAAATCAAATGAAAAAGGGAAGGGGAGGGGGCAGGATGGCAGGGTAAATGCTACTGCAACTAGTGATGTATCGTTATTGCTTAGGCAGAACGGAAGAATCAGTTCAATGGATTTCCATAAGACCTCACCTTACCTGGTGACTGCCAGTGATGATGAATCCATTCGATTGTATGATGTCACAACAGCAACGTAAGAATCCCAACTTTTTATGAGGTTTCCATTCCTGATTATTCAGTAACTTTTTATGTTTCCTTTCATGCTTGGCCTGACTTCTAACTTAAAAGTAGTGTTTCATGGAGATCTATATGTTGACTTTGTCGAGTGGTTGGTATATTTAGAAGTGTTATAATTCTTTTATTCGTTTCAACTACCAGGTGTTTAAAGACAATTAATAGCAAGAAGTATGGTGTTGAACTTGTTAGCTTTACTTCCCATCCAACAACTGTGATATATTCTTCCAAGAATGGATGGGATGGTAAGTCACATGACTCACAATTTACATTAGATGTTCCTTGTATATTAGCTGCAGAAAACAAAAATTCACTCTATTTGTTAAATAAATTCAGAATCTCTGCGGCTTCTCTCATTGCACGATAACAAGTATTTGCGGTATTTCAAGGGCCATCACGACAGGTAAGGATTTTCTAGTAACATTTTGTTATTATAAACATGGGTTGCGTGCTATTTGGTAAGGGTTATTTAGCTGAAATGAAATGACTAAATCTGCTGAGTTTCTAAAGGAAAAGCGTTTGGTAGCTCTATTATGCTTATAAGCATATAACCATTTTTTTTTCCTAAAACACATAGCTTAGACAATGTAATTGAGACTCTACTTGCAGGGTTGTCTCGCTTAGCATGTGCTCCAGAAAGGAATGCTTTATTTCTGGCTCTCTTGATCGAACTGTTATGCTTTGGGACCAACGAGCCGAAAAATGCCAGGTAAATGCCAACCTTTGTACTTATCCTTCTGAAGTCCTTCATTTTAAATCCATACCTGTATTATGTGGGAAGTTTTTTCCCCTTTTGGTCCCACCACTATGTACTTAGAGGATTGGGTCTTCTTGTTTGCAAGTCTCATTTATGGTACGACTTCTATTGTTGCACAACTGCATCCCTTCTGGTTCGGATGGCCATAACCCGTCAGCAAAACCATGTGTGCCATGTGCTTTTTAATAGGGATTCTTTTGTCCCAAAAGTCCAAAACTAACAAAAAAGTAGCGTGATATAAGAGAAAAGAATTACACTTTTTTACACTTCATGAGTTTCTAAAGCAATGGAGCCAAAGATTCACTATTTTTTGGCTTGGGAATATGATGGAATAAAGCAAAGTGGTTCACTAAATTGTCTGTGCTTCTTTGTTATGAAGTAGCAGTCAGTCCATGCAACGATCGACGTAATTTTCACCATGGGGCATCCGGAAACAGCCTCTCCCTGCTTTAGTGCAGGGGTAAGGCTGCATACATCCGACCCCCCACCTCATTGTAGGTGGGAGCCTTTGTGGCACTGGGGTAATGATGATGATGATGATGATGATGAGTTTCTTCCGACCAAAATTTACCGGCAATTATCATATTATTTAACTTATTTTATAGTTAGGTCATTCAAAAAAAAGCTGGCCTGGATTTTAATTACTGGATGTATTCAGCTACTTTAGCTCAAGGCCACAATGACAGTCAATCACTAGAATCCACTCTCCATAGCAGTAATATTGTTGGCTTGGATCCGAAGAAGAAAATGTCCAATTTTTGAAGAAAATTAGCTAGGGTTTCAGTGTAATGAATATGAGGTCAGGTGAGGGACAAGTTGAATTTTGTTTGATTAACATTGTTACACTTTGCTTATGTGTTTAGGGCACAACTCAGACTATATTAGTTTCTAATTAGGATGGGTTTGGAATTCGGATGCAGCAATAGGTCTTTTTATTTGCACAACGATCCATGATTTATGCATATAATTACTACTCCGTACATAATTTTAAATTATAATGGGCCCTTAAGCAAAGATGACTTCTAAATGCTGTGTATCCTCCTTTGCTCTCAGGGACTTCTTCGCGCCCAAGGAAGACCAGCGACTGCTTATGACGAGCAAGGGCTTGTTTTTGCTATTGCTTTTGGAGGATACATAAGAATGTTTGATATGCGAAAGTATGAAAAGGTTAGCAACTTACTTGAAAATGATTCACATTATCAGTATTTTCTTTATTTTTCTACTTAGACTGAATTAATAAAATCGCATACTTGAAGGGACCGTTTGAAATATTTTCTGTCGGTGGAGATTTATCAGATGCTAACGTTGTGAAGTTCAGTAGTGATGGAAGACTTATGCTTTTGACTACTTCAGATGGAAAAATTCATGTCCTCGATTCATTCCGGGGAACTCTAGTCAGTTGTTTCCTCTGGGAAATTCTTTTAAGCTCTATTTCGATGGAGAAGGCTTTGGAGGAGTTAGATGTTTTTCTGCACAATAATCCCTATCTAAAATGGGAATTAATCTCGGCCGTCCAAAGTGTCGATCTGATGCACAATAATCCCTATCTAATGCACTTTCGGATAGACCTTATTTGATGCATTTTTCCAATTTTGAGCTGAAATTTGGTATGGATAAACTAGACTTGATAAGGAACATGCTCAAAAAATTTCATCAAAAAAATCCACCGGGAAGGTCCCCAAACGGGGAAGGCCGCGCGGGGCTGTCCGGTCAGGCCGCCTGACTTGAACAGCCTTCTCTCTCTCTCCCTATATATATATATATATATATATATATATATATATATATATCATTAGCCGACCCCTAACTCTTTTGGGACTAAGGCTTGGATGTTGTTGTATATACTTTGAATACATACACACACATATAGACATGTACATAGCACATTTTTATATATTTTGATATACAAATAGTCAAAAAGATAAAAATTGAAATATCTGACCAAAATATGTGAATATCATTTCGATAATCTTTTATTCACTTTCATAAACGTTCTATCTGCCAAAACACACACAAGCCCTCCAAAAACCCTCCATCCATGGCTCTTAAACATTGTTGTTAGATTTTATGAAACAAATCTTTTCTGACGTGTTATATAATCAACGATACATATGTTCCAGTTGTCAACATATAATGTGAAGCCTGTTTTGTCCAACTCAACTTTGGAGGCATCTTTTAGTCCTGAAGGAATGTTTGTAATGTCAGGTATTCCAAGCTTTTTTCCTTGTGTCTACAGGTTCTGTTATATATGCTGCTTCTACACATCAAATATATGTGATGCCACACATTGTATATTAGCAAGTGTGTTGATTTTTTTTGGTACATTGGAAAAGTTTGAGTGTGTTGATGATTAGCTACTAAGTCACTTGTAGTTGTGAAGAACCATCATTCAACCTGAGAAGATATTAAGAACTTTAATTTACATGCATTCTATTTGCAAAGGGCAACTTGGGTTTGTAGTCTGTACCACTAAGCCTATATTTGGTTTAAGGAAGAAATAGAGAAAAAGGAATGGAAGAAAAAGAGATTGAGTTGAGAAAATACTGGAAAATTGGGTAGATTTTGTGTCATTCTTAGTGGGAGAGAGATGGAGGACAAATGGGATTTGGAGGATATTCAGTTCTCCCCAGTTTTTCTCCCCAAAAGAAAAAGAAATGAAAGATTGGGAACCTACCGTTTAAATTGTCTCCTACCCATTTTTCCTTTTCACCGAACAAGAGAAATGTTCCATTTCTCCTTTGCATTTCTTTCTTCTACACATTTGGCTTGGTAAACAAAGGCTAAGTTATTCTTTCCAGAAGTTTGTGGTTTCTAGATTGAGGGTAGAGGTGACTTGGGTAGGGAGGGAAGGGACGGCATCACGTGTCATAAGTTCCCAAGCTATGCTTTTTAAAGTGAGACCAAATGCATGCTAATTTAATCCGTATGCTGCACAGTACAAAAAGTAAAAAAACTAGCAATAAATCAATAGTTGAAAGCAGGGGGGAGAAAGGAGTAAGATACAACTCTACAAGGGGAAACCTTGATATTTATACAATTAGGATGTCAAACTAGGGATTCTTGAATGAATAGTTCCAGGATCAGGGCACTTGTTCTCCCCTGAATAAACCAAGAAAGCTGTTGATATTTGAAAGACATGCTTCTGTTTGTGTCAGAAGTAATCCCGAATGGATGTGTCTGATTGTTTCTTGGTTTAGCTGAAACTTCCTCCCCCTTTTCTCTACACACACGGAGACCCATGTTTATGCTAGCATATACTTCCTCCGTCCCAATAAAAACTTCCAACTTTGACTTGGCACGCATATTAAGGAAGTGGAATAAAGTGAAAATGCATGGTTGTAGTTGTGTAAGAAAAAGGTGAAATGAATGTGAGCCACACAAATTGTCCAAAAATGGTAAGTGGGAAGAATTTTTTGGGACGGTCCAAAAAGGGAAGTTGAAAGAATTTTATGGGACGGAGGGAGTATCTATTAAAGTAAAAGATTGAATATTCAATTTCAGGTTCACAAATCACTTTTTGTTTTATGTAAATGCGTTTCAGGTTCAGGGGATGGGAGTGTATATGCTTGGAGTGTCCGGAGTGGCAAAGAAGTAAGTCTCCTTGTGACATTTAAAGACATTAGAGTGACTGTTTACAACTATTCTTAGACACTTAAAATTTGTATACTGTTTTAGTTTTTTAGATCAATCTCTTGCTTTATCAGGTAGCGTGTTGGATGAGCACAGATGCAGAACCGCCATGTATAAAATGGGCTCCAGGAACCTTGATGTATGCTACTGGTTCTTCTGAACTCTCATTTTGGGTTCCGGACTTGTCCAAATTGTCAGCTTATGTGGGAAGGAAATAAATGGGAGGAGCACCTATGGTCAGTTTGGACGAGACTTTCTTGATTCATATCTCATATCCCTGGTTGATTATATATCGATTATATTCTAGATTTTAGAATCATATTTATACAACCTTGTATATATACTATTGTAATTATTTACTTTGGGTGAATACTCACCCTCTGGGTGTAGGAACATGGGTTGTAATTATTTAGTATGTATAATTAAATGCATGATCTCTCATTAACAATAAGAGCATCTCCATCTATGATCCTCAAATTTACGATGTCTTATGGTTAATTATTGCCACATTATTGCCACATAGAATAATATCAAATAATCTTCAAATTTATCAACTTTTCTCAGCCATGATTTTTATTTGCTCAGATTTTTATGAGTAAAACTGTAAAAGTATTTCAAATTTAAAATGCCATTTGCAATTCCCAATAATTGCAAGAAACGTTCCTAGTAAAGTGAGCCTTGCCCATTACAAAAGTAGTACCGTAATTGTGTTCCTAGATTTGGGAGAAAGAATCTAAAAGTTTGTGAACAATCTCAAAATAATCCAGAATTTGATATCAGATTATTTTATCAAATAATCTCAAAAAATGATCTCAGGAAACAGCCCGGATCACCAGCTAAGGCCCCTAAATGATTATTGCTCCTCCTCCATGATCCAAAAAAAAATCAATGGATGAGAATGTCCTAATAGTAATTAATAATAGTAACAATAATAATAATAATAATAATCATAATTATTATTATTATTATTATTATACTAATAATAATATTAATAATAATGAATACTTCTGATAATAATATAAGTGGGTTTGGAGAATTATAATAAGGTATAAATTGTTATTACTCATCTTGGATAACGTTGTCACTTTTAGTTGATTTTTTTCCTCTAATGTTAAATAATAAAATTAAGGAAAAATGAAAATTAATAATCCAACCTTTTAGGGGTATTTTTACAATAATTTCATCTTGTCGTAATTCAGAAACAATTCAACCTTTGCATCCCATCTTCATTCGCTGTTCTCTAACCAGTTGTTGACCTGCTATTCCAATTTTTTTTTATTTTCCTTGCAAATCATTCAACCACAAATCCCATCTTCTACAAATCTTCTTGAAACAGTCCCAATTATGATTTTTATATTTTCTTCCTAAAATTTTTCTCTCCTTTTTATGTATTCTGCGAATGAAGATGAGATTATTGTAAGAATATCATTAAAAGGTTGGATTATTAGTTTCCATTTCCCCAAAAATTAATGTATTATTTAGTTAATAGTAAAAAGAATTAAATATTAGTTTGGATTTATTATTATCGAATTAGATTAAATTAAAATAAATGATTCTTAAATTAATTACCGAATGAATTTAGAAAGATTAAATGATATGATAAAACACATTTTGAATTTATTTATAATAAAACATAATCAAGGTAATTCGAATATATAAAAAACACATACATATATGAATATATATTCGGATATTTTTAGACATATGTTCAGTATAATATTTGGGATTAGATCGTATATTATTAGTAATTTACTATTCCATAATTTTTATAAGTTTTATCAATCGAAAACCTGAGAGATAAGTTCATTGTCAATAGGGAACCTGAAAAATAAAGTGTGTTTACATAGCATCTCAATGGTTGAAAACTATGAATAGAAGACCTATTATATCATATTTTTTTTTATTTAAATTATAATTTTTTAATGATTTTTTCTTCACTTTATTAAAATTAAATTCATGATTTTTTTCAATCATTCGTGCTCTATATCGACACACTTCATCTTTCATGTTACTTAATGATAATGATCTTATCGTTTAAACCGTGGATTAATAAAAATATATTTTGGAGTAGTGAAATATGAAAATGTTTGGTACTTTGTGACATTACTCTGTTTAGTCCGATTTTAATTTTAATTATGGTAATGCTACATGTAAAATATATAGAGAAGTTATTCTTTTCATCTGATCTAAATGTTTCTGATTTGAATTTTTAAGATCGAGTCTAATTTTTTTCGATCTGGTCTTAATCTTTCTGATCTGATTTAAAAATTAAGACTATATCTTGATACAGTACGTCTCAAAAGGGGGGCACACAAAAGGGGGTGTACACGAATTTCAGTCACGGGGCCGATCAAGTAGTAAGTGACCAGGATTTTAAGTGGTATCAAACAAGTTCGGCTATCCCAGGTCAAAAATAGTAATCGACCTAGAAGGTTTAGGGTCCCAATCCCGGGTGGCCTAGATTATTGACCGAAACAGGTTAGTTCAATTCTCATCCAATCGACCAATCTAATTTGTTTTATTTATTTATTTATTTATTTATTTATTTACTTATTTATTTATTTATTTATTTATTTATTTATTTATTTATTATTTATTTATTTATTTATTTATTTATTTATTTATTTATCCATCCATCCATCTGTCCCTCCGTCCCTCCATCCACCCGCCCATCCATCCATCCATCTATCCATCCATTTATTTATTTATTTATTTATTTATTTATTTATTTATTTATTTATTTATTTATTTATTTATTTATTTATTTATTTATTTATTTATTTATTTATTTATTTATTTATTTATTTATTTATTTATTTATTTATTTATTTATTTATTTATTTATTTATTTATTTATTTATTTATTTATTTATTTATTTATTTATTTATTTATTTATTTATTTATTTATTTACTTACTTACTTGCTTGCTTGCTTGCTTGCTTGCTTACTTGCTTGCTTACTTACTTACTTACTTACTTATTTATTTATTTATTTATTTATTTATTCATTTATTTATTTATGTAATATATTTACTTTTAATTCGCTACGGCTACCAATCAATCGACCGTCACCGGCATGGAATGGGAACAAGTTCCAGTCCAATAAATAATAGGACGGACCAATCCAAAAGTAAAATTGGGACCACTACACCCCTACTTCTAATGATGAAGAGTGATTGAAATATTTTGTTATCAAGAATGTTTTTACTTAACTGTTTTTAGTCTCACATCTGACCAAATTTTAACAAATTAGATTAAACTTAAACAGATCAGATCAGACCAAATGAGGCTTCGATAGTCCATGAAACACGGATACTTCACTAGGGTACCATATCGGTGTATCGAAAATGTTCCCGTATCAAATACTCTAGGATACCCGTACCGTACATTCCCGGATCGTACCCGTAATTTATTATAAGTTTCCAACTTTTTTGGCAATTCATTAATCTGTTTGTTTCACACACGTCAGAGCCACTCAGTACTCATATCCCGCACACAGGATTAAACCATATCCTGACAGATACTCATATCAACTTTATTTTATAACAAAACACCCACAATTTCAATAATAAAATTCTTTAAAATGAAAAACTAAAATTAAGTTTTACCTTGGTTCAATCACGCACACAACCAAGTATATGGACGACAAGTAAAATGTGGGATGTTGATGGAGATAACTTGAGTTCACCAACATTTCCATAGATGAACTAGAATCGGAGCTTGTCTTTTTGGAAGACAATGTTATCCTTACAAATTAGTGGCTCAAGTGAAAATATGTTTTTTTATTAGAGTATTGTTTTCTATTTCCATTATCCAAAAACTTTGAGTACTTGCATTTTTAATTTTAAAATTGTGATTGTTTGACTTTTTTCTCATTTTAAATTAATAACTTATTGATTATATTTATATTTCAAAATGTACTAGTGTATATGAGATAAAGAATGAATTTATTTCTAACTATCTTGACAATTTGAAATGCCTCAATACCATAAATGAAAAGAGGCCAGAGGATCATATATGTATTATATATATATATATATATATAAATCTTGTAATTTTTAACATTTATATATATATATATATATAAATCTTGTAATTTTTAACATTTATAAATACACCTCTATAATTTTTAATATTTATAAGAGGTTCTACCCGGTCGTTGTCAATTGGAGCAATTCCCGGAGGAATTTTTTGATATCATTTGACTGCCTTCCCGGTTGAATTTTTAGCTGAAATTTGGTATGGGTAAACTAGACTTAATGAAGAAGATGCTCAAAAAATTCCTCCGGGAACCGCCCCAATAGGCGACGGCCGGGCAAAACTTCCTATATAAGGAACTAATTGAACACTTTAAGTTAGTTCAAGGTAGGGGTGGACTCGGGCCGGGCGGCCCGACCCGGAATCGGCCCGGCCCGGTTACTGTTTGGCCCGGCCCGGCCCGGGGCCCGGTGGGTCCATCAGTTCGGTTTGGCCCGGCCCGGCCCGGGTGATGGGCGGTCCGGGCTCGGGCCCTGCTTTAGGTGAACCGGGCCGACCGGTTTGGGCCCGGGCCGGATTTTAATTTTTTTTTGAATTTTTTTTAAGTTTTGGGTTGGATTAGGTATTTTGGGCCATTTGAGGTGGTTTGGGGTTGAGGGGGAGGGGGTTAAATAGGAGAACAAAAAAAAAATAGACCGGTTTGGCCCGAACCGGTTTGGCCCAGAACCGGAACCGGCCACCGGCGGTTCGGGCTCGGGCCCCACTTTTCTGGCCCGAGGCCTGACCGGGCCCAGGCCCGAACCGGCCCAGGTCCACCCCTAGTTCAAGGACCTATTTGACCCTTTACCTATTTATAAATATGCCCCCATATTTGTATCCTACATTTTGTTTTCTTGTACCCTCGTACCCGTTCTCGTGTTTCCGCATAGCCATATCAGTGCTACATAGTTGACAGTTATAAGATATAGAGACCAAAAACTTACCAAACCATATCAATTCAGACCAAACTAGATTAGATTTAAACATATCAATCCAGAGTCCAGACCAGACAAAAAAAATTGAATCCAATAAAAAACATTCTAATTATGTTAGTCTTTTGATTATGTTTTTAATAAAATCTTTTCCCCCAAACTCCCAAAAACAGAACCTGAACGTTATTTATTTATTGATACGTCGGAAAGGAGCTGTTCTATTTTTATACTAGTCTAAAGTAGTCATGGACCCGGGCCGGGCCTCCGATTTGGTCATTTTTTTTTTTGCTTTCCTACCCCTCCCCCCCTCGCCCCCTTCCACCCCCCAAACTCCTCCTAACCATCAAGCCCAACCCGGGTAACCCCAAAAATGAAAAAAAAAAAAAATTAATTCGGTCCGGGCCCGACCCGGCCGGGCCGGTTCGCCAAATACAAGGCCCGAGCTCGGACCCGCCCCCCCCACCGGGCCTAGGCCCGACCCGGACCCGAGAACCGGGCTGGTTCCGGGCCCGCACAGTAGCGGGCCGGGCCGGGCGGCCCGAACCGGGTCCATGACTAGTCTAAAGCATTGTATTTTCATTTCAAGAGTCTGATACACATGCACGCACACAACCAGCATTTAAGTATCAACATTCAATATAAGTATCATTCTAGACTTCTGGTACTCTTCCATTCCAGACTTCTTTTACTCTTCACTTTCAAGTTTCAACATAAGCTTTATGCGTATAATTGGCCAATTGGGCCTTACAAGATAAACTACACAATGTTTTTCTTAATAAATATATAAATAATACAGCAGTCTTACCAAATTATTAGCCGTAATATACAACAGACTATAACAACCGACCAAATTGCCCCACATTGGACTTTCACATGGCTTGCAATCTTCATCTTAGAGATTCCCTGCGAACTAAGAATGCCGTAAAAGATTGGGTTTGGTCAATGCTACCCAATTAGGAAGGATAGTGCCTGATTGGGACCATAACCATTAGACTGAACTGCCACCATAGAGATTTCATGTCTCAGGCACAAGCTCAAACTCAGGATGGGGCTCAGCCAGGCATTACTCAGCCAACTGTATGGCATAAATCCTAACTAGAAAATTTAGAAATGTTGCTTAAAAAGTTCACTAAGGATGCATCTAGATGATGTAGCGGTGCAACCGTGCAAGCCGGGCCACAAACCAGAGTCACATTTTGATTCAGTTTGGCTGCACTACAAACTATGTGTAATTTGGTTGTAGTATGGTGATGTTCTCCAAACTGCATTAACCGAACCCGACCACAACTAATTTAACCAGAACACAACCCTTTAAACCTACCCAAACCAGAACATAAACAGAAAAACTAGTGGTGGGCATTTTGATTCCGTTTGACTTGATCAACTCAATTCAAACCCGAATAATATGTATTTCTGTTTTAGAATGGGGTTGTTTTTACCAACCTCTATTAATCTAAACAAATCCCAAACCAATTCAAACTAAACCGAATAAAACAAGACCGTTTAAAACCAAACTGAAATGCCCAACCCCACCAAAAACTAACAAACTGCTTTGGAATACTAAAAGAACACACCACACAAGTGACATAATAACAAGCTCCTGCCATCATTCACGGGAGATGGCGGTGAAATCTTACAGTTCGGCGATAAGATTGGTCAGCTGACCTTTCCAAATCCACAGTCACCCTGGGCTTACTCGTGTTCCTCTGATCGGATTGACCCAACGAGTATCTGTTCTCTCCAAAGCCCCTTTCTATTGGTCTTCTTGGTTGCCCCCCAACATTCTCCTCTCGTCCGCTCACATGTTTCTTCATATCATGCTGCCTCTGCCTTGCCTTTTTCGATTTCTTGGACTTGTCTACTTCATTTGATAGAGGCTGAAGACCTTGCAAGTCAGGATCCAGAACATATCCAACGGGTTGTTTGGATTCAGCTATTCTCCTAAATGTAATTGAGATCCTGCACAGTACAAACTAATTGGTGTTGGTGGCTTTGTTATTCAAGAACTGACAAAGATCAAAATCTTTTTATTTCAGGTTTTGACTCAACGTGGGCTAGCCCAGGCATTTGACTCTAGGCGGGGTCAGCTATATAGATCAAGTGATGTCACTTGATCAAGAATAACTGAATAAGGAAGGTTGTCTGAAGTCAGGACCTCCCCCAAAGATTAAATAACTACCAATTGAGGATCTTGAAGATTAAAACTACCAATGTAGGACCTGAATGATTGAAACTATATAGTTATGGCCTTAGCAATTGAAATTAAACTTAAGACTAGAAGAATAATGAATTCTGTATTTTTAAATTTTTAATTATGTTTATGTTAACTTTCAATAATAATTCCTTGACGGGTTATATATGAAATTTTATACTCCCTCCGTCCCACTTAAAGGTTCCCACGCGGTTTACGATGTTTGACTGATCATAAATTTTACCGATCCTTGTCATTAATAAAATTATTTTTAGTAAATAAAATTTACATATTCAGAAACTGCATTAAAAGTTTTATAATATCTGATCAAGAAAAATTAAATTTGATAAAAGTTGGATATATAAAGTAAAAGATTAAGAACAATTCAAAGTTTATACTCCGTAATTATTTTTAGTCTTGGATGGATTGTTTCAATTATTTTAGATAGTTTTCATCTTTCATGTCCAGAATAAAAAAACTTCAACAAGAAAATGAAAGTATTGAATAGTGACAGCATGGCATAAACAGTTTGAATATACCTTTTGGAAGGAACTGCCGAAACACAATGTTTAGCCACATCAGCTACTTTTCCATTCAACACAAGAATAGATCTGGAAAAACATTTCGTCATGATTAGTTCTTTTGGTAAAACGGAAAAGATTGCAACATTATTAATGACTAATAATCTAGAAGCATCAATTTCATAGAAATGGGATGAGCAGACCATATCCACTTACCCGACGGGCAAGGAAATCGCAATTGGACCATCAAATTCACCAGGGCTCAACACTTTCAAGTTTGACCCGAAAATGACATGACATTCCGTTAAGAATGAAACAGCACATAATGGCCTAGCAAAATCTTGACTTTCAATACGAGGCGTAATGCAATCTCCCTCTTCATAAATATCCACAATACAGTTGTCAGGTACGGAGTTAGGAGGTATCACATGCCACCTGACAAGCCTTTTAATCATGACTTTCAAAAGTTGAGGTATAGGATCAACGATGTCATTTTTGAGGATGCGTGGAGTGTCATTTGTATCCTGCAATCAACATATTTCAATTGTAGAGTCAACCAGGTTCACCTTTTTTATGAAATTAAACTCCCGTGAGTCCCACTGAGAAGTAGATTCCGTGGAGGGTGAGATGCTCCACCAACCTCAGTGGAAGAAAATACACGCACAAGTTTTGTTTGGTAGAAGAGTAATATATAAAGAGTAGAAATAGAGATAAAACATTTGAATTAAACTAGTTTGGTAATTAAAAAATGAATAGAATAATAAATTATGAAAAGTGTATTACTAAATAAAATTGATCTTACAGGCAGTGATCATTTCCTAATGTGCAACGACCATTAAATTTTGGTGCACTGATCGCAGTGACCATGTCAAAACACAGATGTTGTACTTGATAGAAGAGTAACATAAAAAGGGCAGCCTCGGACATGAAGGCATCCCCGTTATGCGAGGGTTAGGGGAAGGCCAGAAGGGTCTCACTACAAGGGTGTAGTTGTGGTGTGTAAGGGGCAAGCCTTCCTCTGTCAAATTTTGACAAGAGCAATATATAGAGTAGAAATAGAGAGAACATTTGAATTAATGCAGTTTGGTAAGATAAAAGTTGAATATAATGAGAACCTATGAAACCTATATTACTAAGCAAAAACTCATAACAAATAATGTGATCTTATGGACAATAATCAATTCCTAATGCACAATGACCATGTAATTTTGGCGAAGTGATCGCGGTGACCATGCAGTCATAATCTTTATTTTATCAATATTAGTGATTGATGTGCCAAATCCCCTTTTAATATACGTAGTACAAAATTGCACATTAGCTTCTCGTGATTTAAAAAATGCGCAAATCCTTTGTGTTACAGTTAAACATGCATGTAATACTCTAGAAAGACTAATTCAACTGTCAAAAAACAAGCCTTGTTATGATTAATTATGCATATAAGTTTGTTGGACACCTAAGTACTACCATTATAATTAAAATACCATAGGATGCCTGCTTTACACAGCATTTAGATTTTTTGTTTCATGGAATTACATGAATGCTTAATTATAACACAAGGAGTTTAGATGTAGTTTTCAATCACAGGGCGAATGCGTACACTTTGTATATCAGAGGGGCTATGCCGCATTAAACCTAGTAATATTTTTGAAAAAATACTTATACAATAATGGTATTCAATTTCAATTCTAGGTGTCACAAAGTCCAAGGAATCTCTCTTCACTTTCTCCCAATTTAGCATACAAGAAATAATTAGGTGTGGGGCGCACAAACTTTTTGAAAAAATCTACCCTTTTCTACTTTACCAAACTATGGAAATCTTTGTTTTAAAATTAGCGAGGTGGCATGAGGCGTTTTCCTTGAATTTGGATAAATTTTCCCTCTTTCCTCTCCTCTTCATCTGTTTTTACTAAATTCCTCCTCTACCAAACACACTGATTAGGAGTGATAGTGAAATTACAAAACAAGGAACACCCTTCCCTAGAGGTCATGTTTTGTAATTACAGGCATAAAATTTCAGCTTGTGTCTCAAAGTTTGCATAAAATGAATTACTTACACTTGCATAGTTGTAGCAGCAACCGAATTGTAATGACACTCTCCCCTTACCCCCAATACACTTTTCTGGTGCAGTATAGGTTCTCTCTGTGTCACAATATTAGAAGTGAGGACAAATAGCAGAAAATTAAAGAAAATATTTAAATAGTTCCATCAGACATGAAACTTATGGAAAATAGCCTAAAAGATTACTCTCATTGTTCCTTACTAACGCACAATTCACTAAATTACACAAACCAATATCATTTTCTGCAATTTTTTTGAAAAATATAATTCTGAAAACAAAAAAAGTTGTTTCAAGTATTCAAAATCAACATGAATAGTACAAGTATGACTAATTTAGTTCTTTATATAACTTATATCACTATACTTTTTAATAACATAAAGGGAAAAGGGTCAAATAGGCCCTTATACTATTTCCGATCTATCATTTAAGTCCGTGTACTAAAAATAGTATCATATATGTACATTTACTTAAAAAACACATCCAAACCATTTTAACCTGCTATAGCAAGCAGGTTATTTAAAAAGAATAATTAAAACAATTGATTGATCTTATAGAAATTCATATAAATTTGAAAAATAATTCTATAATAATATAATAACAGTATAAGTGAAAAAATACATAAATAATTTTAACATGTTAAAATAAAAATAAAAATAGAAAAATGAAAATAATTAAGTCAGTCAATTTCATGTTAAAATGAAAATAAAAATAGAAAAATGAAAATAATTAAATGGAAGTGTAAAAAAAATCAAAATGTAATAACTTTTAGAAAGATGTAGAATATACAAATAATTCCAAAAATGAAAAATACAGACTTAGCCATTCCTAAGTGTCTGTACTTTTTATTTAAATTTCTTCGAACTTAACAAATTTTTAAACTTTTTTAACATAGAGACCCTGCTATTATAGGTCAAGAACCGGTTAAATGGCCAGATTGATCGATTTCTTTAAGGAAGCAAAATAGGGGCTTATGTGATGGAATGAAAATAGTAGAAGGATCAATTTGACCCTTTTGCCTAACATAAAACAAAAAACTAAAACCGAAAGCGATACCGAACTTATGTAATATTCTAAATTTAAACAATGATATTGGGAAAATTGAAGACACATAAATGAAGACTTCTTTAAAATGACTATACACAATAAATATTAGGGGCAACTCATGGAAAAAGTTTAGTACTACATACAAAAAACATGGCTAATACAAAAGACCATTAACTCCTTTTAAAAGGTGCCATATAATAAAGACCCAAGAGAGTACTATGTGCTGATACCAAGCAGATACTCAGCCATCCTTATTACATATAGTGAATAAACAGAACGCTACAGCAAAATGGTATGGTGTTAACTGATGCACACCACAACAGCTACCTTATAATTTCTAGTGAAAAGAACCAAGTTGCTTGATGCTGGCGGGAAACATACTACAGACCATTTGGGGTGGGGTTGACGATACCTAAAGGCTTATTCATAAGTATGTTGAGGGTTTTCAAGGCCAATGATGATTTGTTGAATAAAAAACTACTACTTTTATTGATATGATTTTTAACTTAAAAACTTTTAAATTTCGAAAGACTATTGCAATGCTTATATACATGAATGATGAGCCTAAACACAATAGGAATAGCAAACCTAAACCATAAACTGGCAAACCTAATAAGAATAGGAAACTATTATGCTACCGAATTTCAACCACTACAACGCAACATTCAAGAAACCAGGAAAGTTTTATAGGAATTCAGTGTGAAAATATGATATGCATAATCATGTCAACAAAAAGAATATATATAATGTTTTTATATTCAGTAAAAAATACAAGTCTAGTTATTGAGTATAGAATAAATCTGCTTGTCTTTGTTTCTACAACAGTATGAACACGAGACCAAGTAGATTTGTAGCACCCAATTACTACATTAGGTTGCTAACACAGTAAACTAAACCAGCATATGCTCAGCATCTCCATCCATCCAAACAAAGAAGTAACAATAACAGTCTTCATTGTGAAGTAGGTAAGTAAAGAAAAATGTAATTCTGGCGAATGATTACTCATGCTCATTGAAGTAACAGGAACTAAGGTGCAACAACCGCAGCTTAATTGGACATTTGGACTTCATCTATTTTGAATGCTTATAGTGTATCTATATAAGCATGGTGATGTAAAACTCATATTCTCAGCCTTAATAAATATCAGCATTCTGCCTCACCTACAACTTTTTTAGTTGGTCGCGTAATCAATAATGCTTTCTCCCATTAGCCAAAGTTCCAAAATTACTGCTATTGGGCCCCCGGGATGGATTTCACCCTTTGCAGTTTTTCATATAAAGGAACGAAAGGCTTATATGAAATACTTACTCGTTTCTTTGGCTATCTCATACCTATCATGGGGTAGTACTCTGTACTTTTTAGCACTTATTAAGATAACTCAATACTAAAATGACAACTAAGGCCGATTCAACAACCTAAAAAAAGAAATGATAAATAAAGACACTTGGATTACTCCAAATAGCACCACCACACCAGCCAGCAATATGGCCTTATCCATTGGCTAATCTAAGAACTATTTTGTTTTAGGAGGGGGGGAGGGGGGATTATATAATTTAGTACCTACAGATAACCAATTAACTCATTCTATAATTAGTGGGACCTGCATTATATACATACACACACACATAAATTTCAATCCTAAGTAGACCTGCATATGCTTATATCAATAGACCCATAAAACACTAGACCTTCCAGCACATTATTCAAGAAGGTTGAGAACACTCAAGATCTCATGAGCCGATCATTGTCTCTTTAATTCTCTATTTCGGGGATCTAACGGTAACAAACAGCTCAAACTTTCAGCAGATATGTAACATATTAAAAATTCTTGACCAGAACTAGAAATTAAATATGAAACCTTTTAATTGCCCATTCTTTCCCTTGTCATGGAGTGTTTCCACATAATTGACAATCCTGTTTTGCTCAGCTGCACTGAAAATGCCGCTATGTAGCTCCAATCCATCCAGTATATTTGTAATCTTCCCATCAATCCTTTCCAAACATATAAAATCCTTCTTTCTCTTCACATTGCTAAACCGGATGCACTCCCTTTGTTCTCTTGAAAGCTCGGTTTTTGGCTTATGAGACTCATCGTGCTCAAATGCTCCCTCTTTCCAAGATAAACCACTCTCATTGGTCAATGTCAAACTTAAACCACACTCCTCGGTCTCTAGCTCATCCTCCTGAGCCATATCAGCCCATGACATTTTCATCACCCCTTGCTGATATTTCATGCAAAAAGTTAGCAAAAAGGGTAGTAATGGGACCTAACTTACCCCAAGAAGATCCTCAAGAGGTTAGATTCATCTCACACTTATATATTAGACAGAAATTCATCAAACATCCAATATGGAACACTTAACTCACAGCTCTCAAGCTAAACCTGGTTGGACAAGCGAAGGGTGGACAAATGAGTCAACCTAGCACCTAAAGAGCTTCCCAATCATGGTCACCCACGAGGCAAACAAAACACAACCAAACCAGGATCTAATAATATACGAAGTACTACATATCAAATTGGTCCAAATTCACTTAGATATTAGAGTAAGCCTCATAAAAATTCAAAGCAGGACACTTAAAAAGAAAATTAAGTATGACAATGAATTGACCAAAAAGACAAAGAAAAGCTATTAAAAGGGATTCCCACCAACACATGCGTGCTTAAATTTTCACTCTTTAACATGCCGGCGCCAGAGGATTTTGATGGTACATCTGTATAGATACCCGCTTGTGAAAAGACCTCCGGAGACCCTTCTTCCTCCTCCTTCCAGCTCCCCAGTGAATGTGTGTCAGCATGATCATTCATGTCCGAAGCATTATTCCAGCTCCCAATAGAATGAGTGTCACAATTTTCCTGATTCCAATCTCCTATCAAACCCTTATTGCCTGATGTAGACGCTGCAACATCCTCTTTATGCTCGGCGCATACTACATCTCTACCAGCTTCTACAGCCATTGTAACAAAAGCATCGATAAATCCATAAGCAATTAACATGAGATCATATAAATAAATAACCTGCAAAACCGCCAGTTTTTAGAGAGTCTAAGCTCATGATCATGGGCACAGTATATTCATTCATGCTCGTACAGAACTGGTGAGCTGGAATTTCATGTATGCGTATTGTAGATGCACCGAGACATGTTTTATGAATCGCAGAGAGGGAGAGGGAGAAAGAGATAACCTTGATGAAGATATCGGATGCGATCGGAGATGGTGACAGAACATGAGTGGCAGAGCCCTCGGGATAGAAAGGGTGCCCAATTGGTGACGAACTCGGAGACAGTCCGGAGTTCGTTGGCGGTATACTTGAGCAAGAAAGGGTCATCGCTTCGAGTTTTCGACTGTTCAGCCATGGAGGACTGAGTCACTCGGTGACTCAACGACGAAAAAGGCGTGAACTTTATAGATTCTCCGATAGAGATATGGTGCGTGAGTGCGTGCAAAGCAGGAGGGAAGCGAAGAGTGATCAGCTGGCTTTGTCAGTGCGTATGTACGCGCGCGTTTCGATAGGGCGATGCACCACCTGCTTGGCTGACATATATACACACAACAAACACACAAAAGAGTACTCTTCCGGTTAAGAATTCCTGACCCGGACCCGTCCGAACGGCGGTGTTTGGCCGCCTTCCGAGTGGAATTTCTCGATAAATTTTTTGACATGTTCTCCATCAAGTCTAGTTTATCCACAAAAAAGTTCAGCAAAAAACTCATTCGGGAAGATCGTCAAATGATTTTTGCAAGCTAACTGGTCCGGAAAATACATATTCCGGACCAGTTAACTTGCAAAAATCATTTGACGACCTTCACGATTGAGTTTTTGACTGATTTTTTTTGTGGATAAACTAGACTTGATGGAGAACATGCCATAAAAATTTCATCAAAAAATTCAACCGGGAAGGCGGCCAAACGCCGCCGTCCGGACGGCGGTTCCTGTCCGGAATTCCGGACATGAACTTTCCTCACACACAAAATATGTTTATTCCGTGACAGACGAAAAAAACCTTCATTAATTGCCTAAAGGGATCGTTCTTGGTGTACACAAAATGTGTACATTATCTGTGTACAGAGACAATTATGGAGGTTTTTGTATCAAATCATGCCTTTTTTAAACGAATTGTCTGTGTACACATGCAACTATAGGGGTTTTGTGTACAACTCATATACATTAAGAATTTTCCTTGCGTAAAAGCGTGCATGATGGAAAATCCTTAGTGTACACAAGTTGTACACAAAATCTTCCTAGTTGCTTGTGTACACATGCAATTCGTTTAAAAAGGGGCAGGGATTGATGTCAAATTGTACAGGCAATGTACACATTTTGTGTACATCTTATGTACACCAAGAATGGCATGTGCATGATAGTGTTGGTTTGTACAAAAAAGCTTTTTTTTTTCTAGTTCTGATCTTTACTACTCCGCAAGTCCGTATATAATATTCCTCCGTATTTTTTGTTTGCTACACTTTCCTTTTTTTGATGTATTCAAAATTTTGCTACATTTTTACTTTTTGGTATGTTTTTCCTTTAAAAATACTCAACTACACTTAATTTTTCTACTTTTTACATTCTTTTTCATGCTTTTCCATCATCTCTTCTACTTTTTCTACACTATTCACTATCCCTACTATTTTAGTTTTAAAAAATGTGTCAAAACCTATGGTAGCAAACTAAAAAATACGGAAGGAGTTGTAGCTCATCCTTTTTTTATCTCCTTCTCGGTTCTCATAAAACAAAATTAACTTTTCTTAACCAAAAGTATGAAGTATTTAATTTTGGATTATAATTTTACTATTTAGTAATGAATTTTGGATAAAAAAATACTTTTTATGTCCCTTACAACTTGGCCAAGTTTGACCAGTGCGAGGATTAATAAAATACAAATTGTGTGGTTGAAGGTTGTGTAGATGAGAGAAAATTAACTGGAACAACAATTTTTTATTTAAAGGGAAAGTGGCTAACCCACCATTCTGTCGCTCATCTGATCTAAGAGCATCTCCAATGCTAGAATGTGCACGGTGCACATGTGGCATTAGAAATAGCCACATAAATATTAGCAAATAAATTATCTTTCTCCTTATTTGAATCATTTTATACAATTTTGGTATGTTTTTCCCTGCAATGTCAACATCTAGACGGTCTCCTTGACATTGTGGAGAAAAACTTACCAAAACTGTATAAAATCATTTAAATAAGGAAAGAAAGAATTTATTCACTAATATTTATGCGGTTATATCTCATGCCACATGTGCACCGTGCACATTGTAGCATTGAAGATGCTCTAATGGTAATCACTGGGTAATAGGAGGGGTAATTTAGTAAAATGACTTTATGAGCTTCCGGGTTTATGAAGTTATTACTTGGACTAGTTTAGGTCTCAGATCAGACTACATCAGAACAGATCAGGTCAGACTTTAACAGTTGTAAAACACATAAAGACCATACATTTATCATACCGGACCAGACTTTAACATTTGTAAGATACACAGAGACCATACATTTATGAGACAAGTTCAGAGTGTAACAGGTCACCAAAACCAAACCAGATCAGAAAATTTTAGTTCAAGTAAAAACATCCTTGATGCATGCTTAGTTCCATTTTTGGAAAAATATAAAAAATGACTCTTTTTTATCCATAGCTCACTTGTTCGTAATATTTTTGCCAAGACCCCTATATTATCAGCAAAAATTAAAGATACTCGTCGGGTTTCATGGATTTGATTTTTAGTTAGTCAATTTTAGAAAATGTGAAACTGAGAACTGAACCGCACAACTTGTGTCGGTTTCAGTCGGTTCCGTTTCAGTTAATTTCGGTCAATTATTTCGATTTTTGTCGGTTGGATCGAGTTTTTGAACAAAAAGCATAAACCGTAAATTGAATGACTGAGGGGTTGGTCCGTTTTAGTGGATTTCAGTTTTATTAGGTTCGGTTTTGATCTGTTGTCTGTCTATTTCAATTATTTGATTTTTTTTGTTCACACCTACTAGAAAATATTTTGGTACAATATTTTAATTTGTGTTTTGAAAGGTTCTAAGCGTGAATTGGCCGCTGCCGCCGGTAGAAGGAAATCAATTGTCTGTTACCGCCGCCGGAGTGTTGCTGTTGTTTCCAGATTACAACCACCGATGGACTACCCTGGATATGCTAGGGAAATTAGGGACAATTAATTATATTAAAGATAAAAATGTAATGTGAAGTCCTATCTAAGGAAAATAAAATATGAAGTCCTATATAAGGAATGCTCCTATGTTTAAATTCTATTTAGTGGAAAATGAACTTGACATATGTATATATAGCATATGAAAGTTGGAATATTATTGAAATAAAATTGATAGACAAAAATGTCACTAAAGTTAGAATAAGTATAACTCCATGGTCACATCAATGTAAAATTAAACACATGCATACTCAGTAAAAGCTACCATATATAATTGTATAAAGTCACAATTCAATATGTCATCTCTATTTTAATTATATACGGAATATATCATTATTTATAATATTAACTATTATTATTATTCTGTCCCAGCTTAAGTTTCTCACTTGTATTTTTTTGGTCGTCCTAGCCAAAAAAATCATTTCTATTTTAGATAATAGTTAACACTCTTAAATGACAAATTAATCATAAAATATTGACTACCCCTGTAAAATCACAATAATCATCAATGACTTCATTATGTTATATACACATCAAAATTACTTCTAAGAATATATTTGAATTATCTTATTTAATTATTTTCTGATTAAGAGTGTCATTTTTTAGAAATATTTTGTTAGGTAGTAGTATATTGTAACCATATTTTCATCTGGTGGAGGTAGTAGTATTTTGCAACCATATTTTATTAGAAATACAAATGACCAAATCATTTTGTTATGGTTCAGAAATCTTTTATCCGGTAATTGATTGTTTTAACCAATTAATTAACTTTAGTTCTATGCATTGCAATTTAGGTGTTTATTCTTATTCCAATAAAATGTTAGTTCATATTGTTTCTGACTCCGATCTATTGCAATAGTTTCATTTGAATTAGATACCGTTTAAGTGATTCTTATTGTCAAGGTTAATGTGGTGAGATTATTCTTGCACAAGAACCCCACACTTGTTTGTGAATGATTATTAAGATATGAAGACCCAAGGAAGATGAAAAATGATACAATATTATAGTATTATACTAATCCTTCTTGGTATTGAAGCCCGCTCGATAGCAAGATAATTGAAGTAACAGTACGTAAGAATATATTGTAGAACATATATAGATTGTTGAGAATTATATTGTACTACGTAAGAAAGAAGGATTGTAATTACAATTGAACACCTGTGTCTACTCCGCTCTAACTCTCAAGTCCCAACAATGGAGGAAATAAACAAGAAGAATTTCATAAGCAGTTTTGAAAAACATACAAAAATTTGCGCGAAGGTAAAGATAAGAGTAAAAGATAAAGGTAGGGAACGTTGATTATTCTTTCTATATACTTTTGTAGACAATTTAGGTCCATTTCTGGATTGTATTCAAATAATTGTCTACCGACTCAAAATTTGGCGTGTTCAAAAAAGGATTCCAGACTTTCTATATATATATAATCACTTTGTATAAAGTCAAAATTCTTTCTATCATTTCTGGATTCCGGGCCATTTAGGGACTTACTTATGTAGTAGACCGGCGTTTGTTGTCCGTCCTCTTCTTTGGTCAATACGGCACTGGCATCGTGCTCTGAAATGGCTAAGTAAAGTTGCAGTTCTTCGCCGTCTTTGGGCTTCGTCAGCAATGGTGGAGTCATCATGTATTCCTTTAATTGCTGAAGCTCTCGTTCGTGTTGGTCCGTCCATTCAAATCTTTTGTTCTGGCGCAGCACATCATAGAACAATCGGCATTTGTCAGACGACTTGGAGATAAACGGTTCAACGCTGCAACTCGTCCTGTCAACCTCTAAACGTCTTTGATAGACTTGGGGGACTCTATGTTGAGTATGGCCCGGACTTGTTCAGGGCTTGCTTCTATCCCTCCCTCACTAACAATGTAGCCCAAAAATTCTCCTGATGACACTCTGAAAGTACATTTCGCCGGATTGAGCTTCAGATTGTACTCTCTTAGCTTTTTGAATGACTCCGCCAGATGATTGATGTGATCCTCAGTTTTCTTTTATTCGACAATCATGTCGTCTATGTAGACCTCCATGGTCTTTTTCATCTGGTCCTTGAACATCATAGTGACGAGCCTCTGGAACGTTGCACCTGCATTTTTAAGACCAAAAGGCATGACAATATAACAGTATGTATCTGTTTTAGTAATGAAGACCGTTTTCTCCTGGTCATCGTGGTGCAGCTGAATCTGGTGATATCCGCTGAAGGCGTCCATGAATGAGAGCATCTCATGCCCAGCAGTTGCGTCAGCCAATACGTCTATGTGTGGCATTGGGAATGAATCCTTCGGGCATGCTTTGTTCAAATCCGTGAAGTCCACACATACTCACCACTTTGCTTTTTTGCCTTTTGTTGCTTTCTTTCGAACGACGACGACGTTCGCTAGCCAATCTGG